TTTCTCTCTCTTCCTCTCTTTCTCTTATAATGGACTTGGCTTGACCTTGACTTGGCTTAGCTTGGCTTGTTTATGACAAACCATAAGAGGCTATTTATAGAAACCAGGAGAGCGGTAGGTGGGAAGTAGGTGGGAGGTAGGTGAGCAGTATGTGGGATGTGGTAGGTGAGTGGTAAGTGAGATTTTTAATTAGGAAACTAATTAAATTATGGTGGACTAGATCTCAACATTACCCAACAATTCTCCAACTTGGAGATTGAGACACTGACTGCATCACCTACTGACTGCATTATCTATTAGCTGTACCGACCTTTTCCTCAAACATGATATCCTACACTTCTGCAACTCAAAGTCCTTGTTTTCATGCCAAAAGACCAGCTGAAGTCTAGCACAACTTCAACTTCTCGCTAGTAACATCCTCAGTTGACATATCACCGTCAACATAGCCTTGTATAACCAAACTCTTTGCTGGGTTACTCCTGTATTTGTTTACAACTCTCACTGCATGAGTAATATCCTGCACCTGCTGAAAGCCCTTTTCAACAAGTCCAGCCTTGTACCTCTTACTGCCTCCAAGCGCAGTCTTCACCCGGTACACCCACTTATTGTGCAATGCCTGCTTCCTTGGTGGAAGTTCTGTCAGCTTACAAGTCTGATTCTCTGGCAGGAAATCTGCCTTTTTCTTCTTGGCCAGCTCCCACTTGCTCAAATTTCATCTTGCAATATTTCTTCATAGCTCTGTGATTCTCCACCATTTGTCTGTACAAGGTCCGGTTTTCCTGCATTTGGCGCTTTCCCACTTTTCAGAAAACTGATCTTCTACTTCCTCATAATGCACCTCTGACTCGTATGTCTACGCCCGAGTAAACCTGTAGTCATATAGAGTGTGTCAGTTTTTATACCCCGAGCCAGTACTAATGCTCCTTTGATAACTTTCTAGGTGCTATTTGAGAACACTACCGAATGACCACCTGATTTCTTTTGCAAAGTTCATTTGCTCTTGTTAGAGAGTGCAATATCAACGTCTCCCATCCCTACCACGTCCAGAGTTTTTCCATCAGCTAGATATACCTTCCCAAAATTATATGCAACATAATTTCACATTAACTTCTGGTGAGAAGAGGGAAGATGTATGGAAGAAAGCCTCTGAATCCAGTATCCAGTCATCAACAAAACTGTGAACTGCCAGCAATAACACATCCTGTCCTGTATTTCTTCAGTTACAACATTTACAACATTAGCATCATTATTTTCCTTCTTCTTAGGATTCATGCAGTTCTTTTTTATGTGGTCAGCCTTGCCACAATTCCAGCAAGTTGTCTGCTGACCAGACATTGATTTTGGTCTTCTGTTTGAGTTCCTATCTCGTGATCTACCTCTGGAATCAGCAATCAGTGTCGAACCAAAATCTTTCCTGCACACCTCCTCAACCAAAATCAAATCACGAATTTCATCATATTTCAGATTAGATTTACCTGCATAACTGCTAACTGACATTCTCATGGTTTTCAAGCTATTTGACAATGAAACCAACAATTTCAGTGCACATATCTCATCATCAAAATTAATTTTAACAGACAATTGATTTGTGATAGTATTGAAATCATTCAGGTGTTGAGCAACAGAAACACTTTCCACCATCTTCAAGTTGAATAATTTTTTCATCAAATGCACATTGTTATTCGCCAATGGTTATTCATACATGCCTGATAAAGCCGTCATGAGATCTGCAGTAGTCATCTTTTTGATGACGTTGTGGGCAACCGATCTCGACAGGGTTAATCGAATAACCCCCAGAACCTGTCGATCCAACAGATTCCATTCTGTATCGTCCATCTTATCTGGTCGCTTTCCCGGTAACGGAAGATGAGGTTTCTTCCCATAGAGGTAGTTCTTTATCTGCATCATCCAGCAAACAAAATGTGTCATTGAACTTCTCGATCCCCGATGTCACCACTTTGTCTCCGCCCATAGTTCTTCCTTAGATTCGAACCAAAGCTCTGATACCAATTGTTATGAAAAACGACGATAATAAAACAAAAATGGAACAAGAAAAATTGCAGCAGAAAAAAACACTAGAGCGACACAGATTTACCTACGTCCACGGAGCTGCAGAGGATTTTAGTTTTTCGATGAATTACACTGTCGAGCGCCTAGACGCTTACACGAAAATATTTATTTTCTTCTCTCTTTTTTTTTCTCTCTCTCTGCCTCTCTTTCTCTCTTAGAGGACTTGACTTGGCCTTGACTTGACTTAGCTTTGCTTATTTGTTACAAGCCATAAGAGGCTATTTATAGAAATCAGGAGAGCGGTAGCTGAGAGGTAGATGAGCGGTATGTGGGATGTGGTAGGTGAGCGGTAGGTGAGATTCTTAATTAGAAAACTAATTAAATTACGGTGGACCGGGTCTCCATATTACCCAACAGCAAGTTCTCTCGAGGAAGTCTACTTCAAGATACATTTTGATAGTTTATTGCACATTGATGGCTTCCTTGACGGGCGCTTTCAATTTCATTGCTGATGAAATAAATTTTTGAAGTGCGTGCGTGCATACGTGCCTGATTGCTTTGTTAGATGTTCTTACTCTCCGCATAGGTTCTCATATGAAAATGACCGGCCTAAGTGCCCGGTGAAGACAAATTTTATAAAGATCGCTTTTTGACCTTATAAGTATCTTTGTTAAGCCATACGAGCATGAAGTTTTTGTTATGATGTGGAGTCTAAACCTGATTGCTTTATTAGAGTTGCTGTTACTCGAATCAATTATCGCACTCATAATAGTTGTTTATTTAAATGTTTAATCTCAAGAGTTCCACATTGTTGTGTGCGAGGTCATAAAAGGTGAAAACAGGAGAAACACTTCTTTGCACTCTCCTCTGATGTTTCAACTTTAGTTTCATATTTTCAAGCTGCATCTTTTTCTCTAGTGCCATTTCCAATCTATAAAATAAAGAAAGCAATAGCAATAGGATAATTAAAAAAGAAGAAATAAATAAAAGAAAAATTCATCAGTATTTAATAAAAAAATAATGAACTTAATTTATGTACTAGGTATTTCTTAAAACCATTGCACCGGTCAATAAGCCTTATTGTTACAATGGTTTCTAAAATAGAATACAAAAAGGCATGATCTTCAGATGCAATGAAAGATAAAAAAAAACTTTTAAAACAAAAATTACATCAATATGTCGTTAAATATGTCTTCCTAAAATTTAAATGGGAATAGAAAACATTGATATTTCTAAAGCATAACAAGCTATAGACGATTATTAAAATATAAAAAGAACGCATTTCCTACAAAATAGCATTAAGGCTCATTGGTAATTGTCTTTGCCACTAAAATTATGAGATATTAGACGGGAAATGAATCAACTATATTCGAACTAATTAAATTGCCATATCATACCATAGAAAATTACCATGTTCTCTTTAGGAAAATCAAATGTGCAGATTTATAAACAAAATAATAAAATTACCAATGAGCTGTAAGAAAGTAATTATAACTTTAAGCAAACCTATTTTTACACGATTACAGCAATCATAAATAGTAATAGAGCTTTAAAAAGGCAAAAAAATTTCCCTAACAAAGACTTCCTATTGCACCTTGTCCTGCTGTCGTTTGTTTCTGATCTCTCTCGTGGCACGAAGGTTTCTTACTGTCATGTGAGAAACTCCCTGCACCTCCTCTCGGATGGCTTGCATTTGAATTGAATGCTTCTCACTCTCACGCACCCATTCCACAAAGGTCTCTTACACTTCCATGAAGAAAACGCCCTCATTCCATGTCCTCCAGGCGCAAGAGCCTTGATGCTGAGTGACCATTTTAGGTATATTTTATTTTATATATATATATATATATATATTTATATATATTATTTAAGCATTTACTTACGATATAGTGGTTCCAGCTGCAGCTTTCCATCATGTGAGATAGCGGGTTTAAATCACACATTGCTTTTTGGGCTTACCCAACCCGATTTTTTTTTTTTTTTAAATTATAATTTCATTAATCATGGGCTCAAATGTGTTAGATGCGAACATCTCCACGAAAAAGGCATTAAGCCAAGTGGTACAATAAGACGATAAGACTTGGGACTCAAAAAAATTTTTTTTGGTTGTAGCTCAGTTTATGGTTGTGCTTTAAGATGTCCATCTTGAACACTTTTAAACAATTGTCACGTGCACCATATCCTTGACAAGATGAACTGTATTATTTAGCCGCATTTCTATCATGCATTCCTTTCGTGAAAATATTCTGCATTCCTTTCCGATACAACATCCATCCAAAATTTTTATTCACAGATTGAGCATTTGTTTTGTGCATTTTTTTTAGTTTTATTTTTTGGATGACGAAGCACAAACAAAGCTTGTATACACTTTTGTTGATTAAAACACATCATAGAAAACATTACATAGTATTATACTTTTCACCAATCCGTCCGAGTTATAATAATTACTATAATTGTAAAATAAGTTTAGACAATTTAATTCATTTTTTTTTGGAGAAATTTTTATAATAATAAATTAAAAAATAAATTTAAAAGATTTTTTGTGCATTTCTTTAAGAACAACAACAACAACAAAGCCATATTCCCACTACATGGGGCTACATGAATCCTTTTTCTTCATTGCGTCCTATTTAGTGTCATATTTCTTTAAGAAGAATCAATATAAATAGTTGAACAACACTTCTTAATCCTTTCATCTCAATAGTAGGAGGCTGAATTGAAAAAACAAAGTGATACGAATAACGAGTACTATAGCTTAAAATCTTGGGTTGCATTCGTGTATGATCATCTTTGCCTGTTGCTATCTAGGTCAAAGTGATACTAAACACTCTATCTACGATCGGACATGATTGATCGAAATCGTTTCTATAATTCCAGCTTTTAAACCTAGCTGAGATATTTAAGCATGATATAATGTATCTGTAACTTAACCTAAAATTTCTATTAGTGTAAGATCACCTTTTCATATATCATGGTTGACTTGATTGTAGGTTGAAATCAAGAGGGCTGAACCCAAGAAAGCTGGTGGAGAAAATGGAAGAGCTGGTGGTTCATTTGGATACCGGGGTGGCTCTTATGGCAGCGGTGGCGGTGGCGGTGGCTACCGTTCCGTGGGTGTGGGTGGTAGCAATTATGGAGGAAGGGCGGGCGGCGGTGGCGGTGGTTTCTATGGCAGAGGTGGCTATGGCTACAGCTATGGTGGCGGTGCTGGTTTTGTTCCTGGCTATGGGGAGCCTATGTATGGTTCAGCTGCATATGGGGGCGGTGGCAATAATCTCTACGGTGCTGCAGCTGGTGGTTATGGCCCTGCTTATGGTGGTTATGGTGGAGGTGGTGGTGGCAGTGGCCGGGGGTATGGGAGCCGTTACCACCCCTATGGAAGATAAAAAATTGAGGTTTTTTTCTTTCTTCCAATTAATTGTTTTTGAGACGTGTTGGTTTTGCTTGTCTTATGGATGTTCGATTTTGTTTTCAAGTGTAACTTTGTTCTCAACATGGAGCTGAATCATTTTACAAGAGTTTTAATGTTCCAGCTGTGGTGATTGTGTTGCCGAACGCTAATGCTGAGTATTTTTAGCTCAAATTTTCTGCAGAGGATTCTGTTCAATTCGAGATCTACAGGTACCTTTGGACTCAGTTTATATATATATAAACTGATGCATCAAGCCAAATTAGATGGTAAAAAACCTTGATATAAATTTTAGTAGTTGACACCCATCAATTTAAACTTTAATGGGATTGGTCACTAATGCATCAAGCCAAATTTGATCCAAACTTGGCCTTGTAGTCCCTAATAAGTAGAATAAAAGCCAACAACTCAACCAATTTCAAGTTATTTATGCTATTATAGTTTTCTGAGAATTTGAGCCAAAAATGACAATAATTCACTACTCCATATGATTGAAAGATCTTTGATATTTGATATTTGATATTTGATGATACTAAAAATTTCTATTTGAAGAATAATGATAATCAATTATTGACATAAGATTATTGAGCTTAATTTCAAATCAAAAAATTGAATTAATCATGCTCTCATCAATTTGAAGTAAACATTACTTGAAAAACTTGACTAACAACTCTTACCCTTCTCATTAAAATGAATAAACTATAAGCAGCCTTCAGCAAATTAAAAAAAAAAATCCCTGTCAAACAAAAGTCCACAGCAAAATCCCAAAATTCAATCTTTATTACAATATACACGATATCCTTTCTTATTACATGCACAAATTCATTTTTTTAAAAAAAGGAAAAAACAAATCATTTTTTTTTCTTTAGCTTTCTTCCTCAATGAACACCCAATCAATCTCAGTTTCATTCGTCTGAGATGACCAGTTCAGCTCAGCTATGGATTCATAATATATAGAAGCTCAACAAGACCAGCGATTATTACATCCGGACTCCGTGGCCTCGATTTATAGATATTATTAGTAGTATTATGATGTTATTTTACTAAAATATCAACATAATGCCATCAATAACATCTAAAATACTGCCATCCTCACCTAATCCGCAAGGATATAATAATTTCTCAAGACAAGTAACACATCCATTCACTCCCTCCACCTCCAAGGCTTCAATGCAAAGCCTCTGAAACTTGAGCTTAACAGCAACAAGAACAAACCTGGTACAGAAAGCTGCTACTCTCTCCATCTTCATCTTCTGTTAAAAACTCTTCAAGACCATCCATGTCTTCTCCACCAAAACCGACGCGTAAATCCATGCTCGCTCGAACTCCCCTCTCCCAAACCCCCCACTCTTTGCCAGAAAAGCCTGCTTCTACCACCACTCAACGGACCAGAGCTCCAATGCCGCCGAAAAGAATCCGAAGCATCTCCTCTAAAACTCGAAGATCCATACAACACATCCATTCCGATGCCCTCTCTATCTCCTCCTCCACACAACACTTCACTCATTCCACTCTCCACATCTCTCACCCCCATTTCATCCTCACTGAAGCTCTCCGATCGCCTCTGTTCATCCCTCTCATTCCACACTAATTTCAAAGCCTGAGCTATCTCGCTCATTAATGGCCGGTGCGACACTTCGGGCTGAACGCACATCGAAGCAATCGCTGCCACTTTAGCAACATTGTTCCGAGGATAATCATCGCCGAGAGCCGGATCGATTATTGTCTGTAATCCTTCCATGTTTGCGAGAAGAGAACGGGTCCAAGCGACCAGATTCTCTTGTCCGGGAGGTTGCGACATGTCTACAGGCTTCCTCCCTGTAAGAAGCTCAAGAAGAACAACTCCATAGCTGTAAACATCGCTCTTGACAAGAAGATGTCCTGTCATGGCGTATTCAGGGTCCACATAGCTGATGACAATGAAGAAGACGATCAGTTTATGGAAATTGAGTCATGAAATGAGCTCTGAGAGGTATGTACCCAAAAGTTCCCATTACACGGGTCGAAATCTGCTGGTCTCCTTCGTCGAAAGCGGAGCGAGCGAGGCCGAAATCGGTGATCCGGGGAGTGAAATCGTCTTCTAAGAGGATGTTGCTGGATTTGAAATCGCGGTGGATGACGCGAGGGCTTGAATCTTCATGAAGATAGGATAGAGCTCGAGCTGCACCGAGGGCGATCTTCACTCGAGAGTTCCAGGTAAGTGGAGCAGTTTTCTTGTGAATCCCTGGGAAGAAGACGACATCAAATACAACCACAAAAATATAAAGAAAAATTTACTGGCATAACACATAATTTTTGTGTAAATCTTCCAAAGATATAACTGTAAAAACTCTCATTCTTACCATGTAGATGCGAGTCAACACTGCCATTAGGAATAAGTTCATAGACCAAACAACGAATATTTTCCTCCGCGCATATACCAATCAACTTGACCAAATTCCTGTGATGAAGACGACTGAGCATCTCAACCTCGGCCAAGAATTCTCGCTCTCCTTCCCTATCATCTCTCTTCAAAACCTTCACGGCCACCATTGTTCCGCCGTCAAGTGTTCCTTCGTATACTCGCCCGAACCCGCCTTCTCCTATAACTCTCGATTCGTCGAATTTGTTGGTGGTTCTTTCGATCTCAGCCAGCGCGAATGTTTTTGCTGATCCATTATATGTTGCAATGTTGGAGCATAAAGAGTCTGATTTTGAGCTTGGGCCAATTCCAACATTTACAGGGATGGATCCTGTGGCTGTTTTTGTCAAATTGGAAAGTTGTGTATTTTAGAGGTATAAAATGAAATTGAAAGGTTTCTGCTCAAACTTGAAGCAAAAGAAATGATGATGCAATTTTGTTGATAAGGAAAAATCCACTTTCATAATGATAATAATAATATTATTATTATAAAAAAATGAAAACTGAATTTAGATCCTTGAATTTCTCAGTTATCTAGAAAAAGAAATGAGGTATCCATATTTCAAACCTATTTTCTGAAAATATCTAGCAAAAGATGAGTTCTTTGGGTTGTTTCATGCTTTTGGAGTAGATATTGACACAGAAAAATATCAAAATGGTCCTCTGGCTCTTGTTAGGACTCATTTTAGTCCCAACGTCTATGAAAATGTCAATTTAATTCCAAAAAAGTTTTAACATTGGCTTAAATAGTCTTTAGAATCTTTAATAGGATGACTACTGCAGCCCCCGCTAAAAAAAATTTAAGGACTAATTTGGCACTTTAATAGACTCTGGGACTAAAATGACCTTAATGCAATTAGTCAGGGAATTATTTTGGCACATTACTCGATATTAATAAAAATAACAGAAAAAAAAGGCATTTACATGTACACCTCACAAGTCTTATATATTTACATATCTAAAACCAAACTTTGATATTTACATGCATATCATTTAACTTTTCAACATTGCATAAAAAAATATCACTATTATTAACTTTTGAAAGTGAAATGCACCTCATGCATAGATTTATAATACCAAATTATTATACACATGAAGTTCAAACTTTAGGTGTAAGAAATGTAATCACATAAGAATTGTGTGGCATGTAAATTTCCCAAAAAATTAACAAATTGTACGGTAAAATACCTGTTGATTTTGAAAATGGGGTCTGTGAAGATTGAAAATTTGGTTTAAGAAGGCCTGATAGCTCCCTATTTCTTAACAACAAAAACCATACAGCTCCAATAAATGAAAGCACGGCTATTAACGAAGTCATAGCTATAATAGCTATCACACTGCCGCCTAGACTTTTCTTCTTCTTTCTAACATCAACTGCAAAAGGATGAACTTTCCTTCCGTTATTGTTATTTGCATATGCTTCCCCATTAAGAAATGCTGTAGGTGGTGATGGAGGAAGGCCTGCATAAATCCGTAAAACTTAGGGAATAACTTTATTTGTAGATCATATACAACAACAACAAGCCTTGTTGAGATTTGGAATAGAGCAACATAGTTTTATGGATAGAAGAAACCTAATTACAATGGAAACAACAAAGAAAAGAAATAAAATAGAATAAAACAACTAGGAAATGTATAATAAGGGAATGAAAGGTAATAATAGATAATAATGGTTACGAATTGTCGTTATAAATCTAATACCCTCCCTTAAGTTGAAGCATAGATGTCAATCATGTTTAACTTGGAGTTGAAGTCATCAAACAAAGAACGAGGAAGATTCTTGGTGAAAATATCTACTAGTTGACTATTAGAGGACACAAACAGAACACAAGTTTCCCTGGAATCTTCCATATCCTATATTTTTACATATCTAACAACTAAACTTTACTTTTCACATTTCTACCACCCAAATCTTCCATATCACATAAAAAATACCACCATTTTAACTTTTAAAAAGTGAAATACTACCTTTCATGCATGTGTAAGGTGATGTGCAGATAAAAATTGAAGTATAGATGTAGATATGTAAATACATAGGAATTGAGTGATTTGATCTAAACCTTCCTAAATAAAATGCATAGACATTTATCCTTAGACAAAAGGAGAGCCTTTGAGATTGTGTGGCAAACTTGCTCAATACAATTCAAATTCTTGGTGCAACAGCAGCTTAGTACTTGATAATTAAGAAAAATAAGTGTGTCCGAAATTGTTAATCCTATAGGATAATCAATCATATAGGTCACACAAGTTATGGCATAGGGTAATCAAATAAATGCTGAGTAAAATCATAGAAACATGAGAGAAATTAACTTGAATTTATATTAGAGAGGCAGAAAATGGTTATTATTGTGTGAAGATGCCTAAAGAATAAAATTTAGATAGCAAAGAAAGGATCTACATAAATTTCTCGTAGATTTTGAAATATTTGTATCGAAATATCTCGAAGGTTAGGTCCAAGTGAAGTCGAACCCATTCGATATACTAAGAGAGTTGGCGGAGTAAAGAAAATGATTCACATTAAACTTTTAGAAATATATTGAACTCACTAGAGACTCAAGCAACAGTCGATGACCTTACACCAGTCGATGGTGAACTCAGAGTAGAGGATTGAATAAACGAAGCCATTTAGCTGAGCTTACTCAAGGTTCTTGGAATATATGTGAGTTCATCAGCTGTTGGAATAGATGTGTGCCTCAAACTGTAAAAGCATTAACTTCAACTCCATAGTAGACAAGGCCTAACAAAAATCCAGACAACAATGAAACAACTACGGCACAGGGATTCTTATGAGGAAAAATTGGATCTAGTGAACCATGTAGCATACTTTGGGTCGGAAGCTTCCTTTTTCAATATTTATGATGCCATAAAATGTATGTTATTCCTTAACGACATTATAGTAGCACCCTTGAGATACTTCTCCAAACTTTTGCTTATACGTATCACAATATCGGTTGAAGTTAGCATTGAAGAACTCCTAAGCTCTCTTAAGGCTTAGACAAAAACTAGATGAGTCACTACGAGAGCTTATCATTCATTTCCAGCACAAGATGTTAAACATCGAAGATTTGAAACATGTAGTTGCTCTAGAAATGTTAATTCAAGGTCTTACGGAAGAAACATTCAGATATGTGCTCGGATTGAAGAAGCCGAAGCATTAGAAAAGATGTTAGAACTCATCAATGATCAGATAAATGACTAAAAAAAGTCACGCGGAGATAACAAAGCCCTCGCATTTTGAATATAGAAACTCAGGATGACATCAACAAATGAATAGAAGCCAATCCAACTTCTAGTCAATTAAAATTAGAACTTGCCATGATTAATCACTGCACGAGAATTATGAGTTATGAGTTGAACTCATGTATTCACCAAAACATCTCCCTCCCCAAAAACATCGAATTAATTGTTGCCAAATACCTTGTTCATATTGAGTTGCAAGTATTTTATGGTACGTTGGTGAACGCAATTAAAGATGAAGAGTATTTCTGTCAACGCCTTCTGTCTCATACTTGAGATCCAACAAAATATTACACCTTATCTAATAAAAAAAAAATCACCTTCATAAAATCATGATCATGACACATAAAACTGTTGGTATATCCATAGCCTAGTTAAAGAACTCGTCAAACCTAGAATGTTAAAAGAATTTGTACTAGCACAACTAGAAAGAAAAACAGGAAGTGGAAAAGAAACAAAGGATGAAATCAGTTATGCCCAAGTTATTTAAATAGTAGGAAGTACCCTACAAAAGTTATATTTCAATTGCATTTTTTTGTAATAGAGTATTAACACGTTTCTTTATTTGATTACATTGCAACATAAATATTTGATTATTGGCACTTCTCTTCCTCAAAGTTCTTTTAAAAGTGATAACGCTTAGGCAATTCACTAATAACTTGCTGCATAATTCATTATAGTATTTAGCAACTATGTATTGATGCTTGATAAATGGTTTTATATTTATTAGTCAGTTTCACCACTCTTTTTGAGTTTTCAATTTTATGAGTACACGTTGGATGTGTAACTCCTTCATGTATTAAAAATTCAAATTATTAAAAGTAAATTAAAATTCCTAGCTAATTTTATGTGATTCTAAATTTTTATGGAAATGCTTGGATCATTTTGACCTTTTCATTATTAGTTTGACTTTACTTGACCATAAAGCATTGACAAAAGAACAAAATTGAATTTTCCTAGCATTAAAATGAAGCAAATTTGCTAATTTGATAAATGAATCACTATAAATAATGAGATTTAGTTTCTAGTTATACCAAATATTCTAAAGACATGTTCCACAAAAGAATTTGACTAACCAGGATAGTTGACATATAAAACAATATAGTCTCCAAAATATGAGGCTTGTATTGAAACTTCCTTCTTCCAGAACTTCTCAAAGGTCATAAAACCTGTCCTGTTGTCAAAGGATTTCCCAAGTGGAACCAGATCAATAAGCACATCAGTCTTCTCAGGCTCTTCAGTTACAGAATTTGCTCCCATGATGCGCACTTGGCTTTGCTTCATCGAAACTCCGGCTGCAATTTCTTTGGCAAATTCAGAAACCAAAGGAAAGAATATGTACAAAGCAACGCCAAGTCGCAGGACAACTTTAATTGGCAAAACACATTCACAAGGTGATCCAGGACATGGAGTTGTAAGTGGTGATTGGCAAATCATGGGACCACAGTCTGCAATTAAGAAATTTATGGCACAAGAATTGAAGGATAAGTTTGAAAATAGTTACAATCATGGTAGCTTTGAGGAATAAACAAACCGAGATTAGGAGGAGGAGGGGGTAACACTTGTTTCGGTTGTGATGAGGGGGGCGACGACTTGCCTCCGAAAGATTTGGAAGGAGAAGATCGTGGAGAATGAATTTGCCCTATTTAGGAAAAAAGGACAAGTAAATAACAAAAGGAATTTCATGGCTGAAAATGTGGTTAAGAAATATTAAACGAACTTACAAATTATGTAACTTGGGGGAGGACTGGTTGATGCTGGCAAAGGAGCAGCAGAAATTTCACCATTTGTTGAAGTTGGAGTTTGGACTGGAGGGAGATGAGGGCCTACAATGATGAATAAGGTTATACGCAGCACCTATTATCATCTTCTTCTTCTTCAAATTTTCTTTATTTCTTTGGGAAATTTACATACACAATTCTTATGTATTTACAAATCACACATCTAAACTTTCATATTTACATACATAGCACTTTGGTTCTTTAAATCTACGCATGAAAAGGTAAATTCCACTTTTAAAAAGCGATCATAGTGTTATTTTTGACGTGATATTAATGATTTGAATGTGTGTAAAAATGAAAGTTTAAGTGTGAGATATGTAAATACATAAGAACTATGTGCTATGAATGTAAATGCCCCTTTTTTATTAGTACCTTGAGGATATGATGGAGGAGAATGATGTCTTCTATTCCTCTTCGGAGTCTCCATTGGAGGGTGTGAAGGAGCTGGACTGATCTTTGGCCCTTCCAGAGAGTCAACAGAAGGATGCAGAGGAGCTGGATTGATCACAGGACTTCCATTATACGGCGAAGAAGCAGAATTCTTATGTTTTGGAGTCTGTATGGGAGATTTTGAAGCAGATGGATTGATCTCAAAACCATTAATAGTAGGCTGAGGAGCATAATGCCTTCTCTTATTCTTCAAAATTTCTATGGGACGATTGGAAGGATGGGAGGCATGATACTCTCTCTTCTTCGATTTTTTTGCAGGAGAACCTAAAAGATCCGGCGATTCACAAGATAATCCATCGAAATATAAACTTATTGGTAATCAAGATTTTATGGCATCAATATTTTATTCGACATATTCGGTAAAGAAAAATGATGATTGTGATTGAAAATACAGTCCAACCTGAATGTTCTGATGTTGTTTTGTGAGTAATTTTTCCTTCTGGAAGATGGGGAAGAGAGCTTGAAGTAGAATGTGCAGTTTTTGATTCATTTTGTGGAGGAGAAATGTCTGAGGATGATGGTAAAGACAACATTGTTCAGTAAATTACTAGCTTAAGCAAGGCATTTAAGAATTTTCTGAAAAGTTAACATAACCCGGATACCGCACAATTTTCTATGTGTTTACATATCTAACACCTAAACATTCATGTTTACATATATATCACTCAAATCTTTAACTTCGCATAAAAAATACCACCATCACTACCTCTTTAAAAGTGCAATACACCTTTTAGTTTATGATGTGTTGTTAAGTGTAAATCTCAAACATCAGGTGCTACATAGTAAACATATAAGAATTGTGTGATATGTATGTAAATTTCCCTTGTTTTAAATCACAAGACAAATCCAAGTCCATAAGACTTCACTCAAAGGCAAGGTTTGGAGTAGATTTTGATGTACATAGTCTTAATCCTATATTACAAAAAGCCATTTTCACAATTCAAACCCAAGGCCTCAAGACAACGAAGGCAACCCAATGAGAAATCCGATGGAGAGGCGATTAATGGATTTGTTCATCGAGAATTTTTCTGCACATTTCGTGGATTAATGGAAGCATTCTTGGAAATGGAGCTGATCCAGGAGTGCTTGACAAAAAAAAAAATTATCAAGTGAACATGGAACGTTGAGGGTGGAAAAATGAATAAACTTTCCCTCATCCTACCTGCTTGTGCAGTCTTTGGACTTGGTTTGTGACTGCTGATTGAATCTGAAGCGTATAAAGGAGCTGCCTTTATATCTTTTACTGAAGGTTGTGTGGTTATTTCTGGTGGAGGAGAGAAATGAAAACACAAAACATCATCTATGCAAGAACAATTGGTTTTGTGTTTAGGAGTATAAATGTATGAGATGCTTGGTTTGAGTTTCTGATGGGGAAGGATTTACCTTTTTTGTGAGGAAGCTGCGGTTGGGGTCTATCGGGCGAGGAAGAAGCTTCGATTGGAGATTTATGGAAGCTTATATTCCGGTCTGAAAAAGAATTGGGTTGCACTGATGGTAATATTTCCTGAATGATTTTTGATGCAGTTTCTGGTTTTGAAGGCGAAATTACAAAAGGATGAGCAGTTGATCCTGAAAATAAACAAAATTCATGAAATTAACCATGAAATTTACAATTGTTGGGAGAAAGGTGAAATCTATGTTTAATATTTGCTAATAAGACTAATTTAATAAGTTTTTCAAGTTTAGTAAAGTTAATTTATCCAATATTAAAAAATAATTTGAAAATTAATTAAATACAGAATAAACTAATCAAACATTAGTTATTTTTTAGGACAATAGCTTATATAGTTAGATCTATTAATTATGGATTAGTCCATTAAGATTAAATATGTTAATTAGAATAATAACAGATATTTATTATCTATAAACTAATTTATTGAATCAGCTTTATGAGAATTTAATGAATTTTATATTTATTATAACTTTTTAACCTTTCAAGTACATTTTAAGTATATATTCTCTCAATATATAATTAGGATAATACTTTTTATATTTAATTATATTGATGATGGAGAAAATTTATGATATAATATTTGATAATTATTAAACCTAATAAACCATCATCATTTTCTATTGACATTTTCACTGTACTTTATGTCTTGATAGTTCTTGATTCAATATGATATGAAGGGGTCATCACTATCTCCATAGAAAAATGTAGGGATATTTCTGCCGCACTCGGCATTGCGTTGCACAAATGAGAACATATAATAAAAGCCATGAGCAAACTAGCGAAGTTTCACTATTTTGAAATTTGTTGAGGCGACTAACCAATTTGATTCATGGTCGAAAGAATAAAAACATTGACTTGCTTTAGAGAAGAAGAATTGCAATATGTTCAAATAAGAAGGCAAATGTTATTATTCTAGTGAGTTTTTCCTCGTACAAAGTATAGTAAAGAAGTTTATCCCTTTGGCAAAGACATTTGAACACAAAAGTTCAATGTAATGCTCTTTCTCTATAGAAAATTATCTAAGAAAGGAATTACTAACTCTATATACTATTTCTCTCTAGGCGACAATCCTAACCTACTTTTTGAATGACAATTAGTTAAGTGTCTTATCAACCGGTCTACTCCTTTTTTCCTTCCTAGATATTTAATAACAAATATATTTTTCCACCTTATTAGTAGATTTTATTTTTCCTCCATTGAATTTTCCCAAGTTAACTATACGACTCGTACACAATCTTAACTTCCAAATTCAACTTGATCTTTGGTAACCTTTTTATTGCCCAACACTCAGATCCCAATACTATAGCTAGAATATTAAAAAAAATTTAAAATGTATCTTTAACTTTTAATTACAATAATTAAAAAAATGTAAAAAAAATGGTGCTAAAAAATCACATTCGAACCAATGCAAAAATCAATCAACAGTCTACTTCTCTTAAATAGATTGTGAAAGGGAGTATCATACTCCTCACTATAGTCTTAAGAAAACCAATGAAAAAGCAATAACATCTAATAGCATGACATTGAAATTCAATAACATTCTTATAGTCCTATGCATGGCCAACACTAGAACGTTAAAAAAAAAAAAAAGGGAGAGTTTGGCTTTACATTTCAAACTCTAACAAGAAAGCCTAAGTTTAGGGAGAGTTTGGCTTTACATTTCATTTCAAACTCTAACAAGAAAGCCTAAGTTTAGGTATATATGTCCCATTTAAAGGGGGCCTTTCGTGTCCGTTAAAATCACTAATTTTCAAGTTTCAGTTATGCTAATCTAATTGTTAGAAATTAGTTATAGAACAACCATCTTTCATTAATATTCTTGTGCCTCATGGCACATTGGGCGATTCATCCACGGACAAATCCTAAAGGATATCCTCTAGAGTTTAGAACAGGGAAGGGATATGTAAACGATTCTTTCTTTTCCAATGATTTAAGAAGAATAATAAGAACACTGATTCAGAATAAATAAAACCTTAAAAGGGTGAGAAGAAAGGAGATTTCCTATCAAATCAAATGGTTCGAGATTGTAATGCAAGCTTGCAAATAACTTAAATAAAGACAAAGAAATGTTTAGTGGCGCCATAAACCAACTTCATTAAAAACCATGCACAAAGCAAAAGTTTTAAATTGAACCTCAAAAGTCAATTCATAACAAAGATAAATTTCTAACTAAGAAAATTACAAGAAATTGCATGAAATGACTTCGCAAACAAGAAAAACTAATGGATTTGGTTGATTTCTATATATTCGTGTTGGAATTTGTATCTTAATCCCCAAAGAACAATCCTTTTGTTTTCATGATCACAATTAGCACAACCCTAATCTTTATGCAGCCAAATCACATCTCCACCTAATGTTACTATAGCTTTGTCGTCAAGAGTTGAGCTTAAACCAATGCTTTATAACTAGACATCTAGATTTCCACCTTATTTGATTTTAGTTACCCAATTTATGACATGATAAGAAAGAAGAAAGATTAAGCACAAAACATGTCTAGTACATTTCTTTCTCCTATTATATTTGCAAATCAAACTGAGACACAATGCCCCATATCACAGTATCCTTCACGAATCTGAGTTTAACAAGAGAGGCCCACACATTAAAGAACCAAAGAATGAAAAGTAATAATAAGATTAAAAGAGCTTCTTTTTTCATGCACTACTTACCATGTCTTCACCAGTCTTCCAGATAACCTTCTATTAATATTATAAAATACTTATCAACTTCATATCAGCTAAGATTATATATCAAACAATCAGTTTCTAGAAAAAAAAAAAAAAAAAAAATTTTTTTTCATTAAAAAAAACGAAATTAATCATGTCAAAAAAAATCGAAATTAATCATGTCATAAACAACCTAAATCACTGAAATCATCAAAACTTGGAAGAATTAACCCACTATAAACTTATAATAGAATGCTAAATTATAGTCTCTCTTAAAAAACAACTCCAACCACATCAAACTTTTTTCCCCTTTCAAAGGTTGAGATTTTACAAATAACATAAACAAAGAAGCATTTTTTTAGCACTAATTTCTTACCTTCAGATTTAAAAACCACCAACTGAAAAAGCAGAACGCAGAAAGCAGAACGAGCAAGATCTCCTTCCATCCAACCCATCCTATATCGCCGGCAAAACCCTAGCTTTAAGCCCCACGCGGCCCCAAGCACAGCTTAACCGAATCAAAGCAGTACAGAACCAATACAACAAATCATGAATAATCTACTCTGGCTGCCATAAGAGACAAAAGCCAAGCAAGCTCATGGAAGTAAAACGGGATCTGCCATAAAAAACCAACATAAGAAAGCGAGCTCCCAGGGGACAAAAGCCTCTTTTTGAGCTCAATTTGTTACCTAAAGTTAAGATCTTTGCCGACAGAATAACATAGAATATCCAGAGATGTCTCGAATGGAAAGAACTCTAGAGGATACCAGAGAGAAGGCAAGAGGGGATATTTTCCATGCTAAAAAATGGAAACTTTCAGCATAAACTAAGATGAAAAGAGAGTACGGCAAGAGAAGAAAAGGGGGAAAAGAGGATAAGTAGCAGAGAAAGAACCAGGAAGCCTGAAACCGCAGCAGAAATTGCAACAAAGGATTCGAAAGTTACCGTTTTTACCACCTTAATGGCAAATAATATTCAAACGGATCTCAAATGGGACAATGAAAGAAGGTTATATGCGCCTAAATGTTCTGCTAGCTCTTCAAAGAGAAAGAGAGACAAGGCAGCGAGTGAGAGAGATGAACCAATAAATATTCTATATTTGATTCTAGAATATGAGGCATGTTTGGATTTTGCTTTAGTGGGAGGAAGCCTAATTCTGAGATGACTTCTTCTGATAGGGTCTCATGGGTCATAAAGTTGTGGTTGAAATGCTGCTGTAATTTGATTGTGTAGGCCGTTGTAATTTGGCTCTGAGCTCTCCGAGCTTTGTTTGACTGTGGCAGCTTTAAGTCAAATTAAGATTTTCTTAGTATGATTGAAGATTTGACTCAGTTAAACTATAATTTGAGTTGAGTTAATTCAATTTGACATAAATTTAAAACGTAATAACAAAAAGTTAAAGAGATGCATATATTTTTTTCTGTTGATTTTTTTTAAAAAATTGAGTATTATGTGAACAAATAGTAAGATTTGGATGTTAAATACATAAATTTGATGTTGGTGAGGGTTATGTATGGTGGATTTACATAAATAAGACTTAGAACTATCCTTTTTGTATATTTAACTTTTAGAATTTACTATTTGCTCATATAGCACTAAAATTTTTACATGATATAGAAGTACCACTTCCTCACTTTCTCATTAACTTCTCATGACAATGGACTACTCCTTCACATAGTATTGGTCCTATTAATGTTCTTTTTCAATGAAATCTCATTGCTCTTTAATAAGATCTTGTCGTGACTTCACCACATCTTCATTGTTGAGAGCTGACCTTCAAACATTGTCGATCTTGTTGATACTCTTAGTAGGGAGATCTGGTCAAGCCTTCCATAATCTTAATCATTGAGAGTTTCAGGATTCTGAATAGGAGTGACAGTCTATTATAAAAAGTACCTAATGACAGCTTAAATTTGGTGAAAAATAAGGTTTGGTGCTAAATATATAAAATGATTTCAGGTGTTATATATATAAATTTCCCAATTGTTTATTATATTTTTTTATAAATATTTTATTTATAGTTTTAAAAGTTTAGATTAAGGATTTGTAGAATTGTTCAATAATAATAATAATAAATTATAAAAATTAAATTTACAATATTATAATTTTCTTACATAATGTTGAGTGAAAAGGTGTAATGAGATGACTTCAAATCCAAGGCTCCCTAAATTCTCATTCATAGGGGAATTAATTCAATATTATCTTATCTCAAAAATATATTCAAGATATTTTATTCTATATGTACCTCAATCAATTAATTTATGCAGTACTTTGTCTTTATATATAAATATAAAATATTTTTTTTTATGTTATAGTATTTAAGATATTAAAGTAATTACATCATATTATTAGATGCTACAATATTCTAGATGATAATTGTGATGTTAGCTTTTCTACTCTGTGTCAAAATTTTGCACATAAACATATAGATGAAAAAAATAATAATAATAAGAGGCCAAAATTTTTGTGCTACTCCTATAAAAAATTTTAGCTCTGTCTCAGACACAATATTCTCTTTTCTCTTAAACTAAAGATGTTTGGATAAGAAAATTAACATAACTTGTTAGGTCTCCTTTGTAAAAATAATTAAGGGTGATGATAGTGATTAGACGATAAAAGTTAAGAGATGATAGTTGATCTCGTTACTACTTATGTGCATAATAGAACAATGACTTTAATGATCTTTTTCACTTATGTTATTTTACTTTGCAACAAATCAAAAACTTGATCCTGGAGAAAACAAGAATTTAATTTTTTAATTTATATTTATATTGGGATACTACTCAAGTATATGTATAGTTATCAAGTAATATATGACTTTTTGATTAAGACTTGATTATCGAACCCACAGATAAATATGCAATATGCACAAACTTTTTATTTTTAAAAAGACAATTACTTAAACTATAGATATTTTCTCAATAAGTAAAATTCAATTCTTATTGGTATTTTTGATATTTTGACAAAACAATAAAACTTCTAAAAATAACTTGAGTTTATGTAAACGAAAAGCACTTGATATGAAAATATTTTTCTCCTTATCATGAATCAGTAATAAATATAGAAATTCTATTATGGAAGTATGCACATTGTGTTGTGTCAAAATAGGAGCAATAATATTCTTTACCATTACTAGAGATGCTATAAAGAACATTGACTAATTTATAGTAGAATATTTTTGAAGACCAGCTATGCAAAAAAAATACTAGCTCTCACTCTAGAGTTCCCTCAATTCCCTCCACCTTGGGGCAAACATCTCGTATTAGAACCTAAAACAATAAACCAAGTTGGGGGCTTTAACCTATCACATTAAAATCCTCTAATTCTATACCATTCAAAGTTATTTCCATATTTATTTGCATTAAATCATATGAATTACATTCTCATTCATACAACCTCATATGATTCTTTCCAATTGTTAACTGAGATAATACCAGTCAGGTTCTTACATGTTCTCACAATAAGTTTTAACATATGGATAGACCAAATCAAGAAATAAATAAAGTACATGGATTTAAATCATCATAAATTCTTCCAACATTAAATATCAATACTCTCCACAACTTCCATTCAAACTTTGATTACTTATCATTTTTAGGAGAAAGATAAAAAAAAACTACACAGAATTCATGGAGAAAACAACACCACACTTTAGTTTAAAAGTAAAAAATCATTGTCAAACCAACAAGAAATCTTTATTAAAACCAAAAGTAGGTCAAAACAAAAGATAAAAACTTATCTCAAATCCTCTACCAAACTCTTGAAGTTCTTTTGAATCTCTTTTCTTTTACAACACTCTTGGCTCTCACAATAGCTCTCACAATAAAACTATAAAACTAAAGACAAAAAGGATAAAGTAAATTTGTGGTGCTTGAAAATCTCTCCAAAACTCTCTCCTTTCCAACACTTTTCAGAACTTTCAAACACACTTTAAAAAGTCTCAAATTCCTTCTTTTATAAATCTCCAAGAAGTGCCTTGATAACTCTTTAAAATGTGTCCCAATTCGATGTATTCTCTAAAGGATGCCTCCTTTCATAAGTATTTTAATAATATTTTTGTTTCTAGTGGTCATAACCACCCTCCTTAGCCAATATGTTCTTCAAATATCCCTTCAAAGTTCAACAAAATGAAGTAAACCGTCACATAACTGCCTCTGGCGCTTAAGCGCAGCCTTCTCTGTTTCACCGGTGCTTAGGCGCCAAAACACTTTAACACAATTTTCATCTTTTTTGCTCCAAATTTGATCATTTTTCACTTATTTTAGCATTTTTCACCTTTTTTACTTGTACCTGAAAGAAAAACACACAAATACCTTTCATTAAAGCGCAATATCTCAAAAATAGGTATAAAAATGTGTCTAAAAATACTATATATTTTAGGTGTATTAATAGTATGATAATAATTATAGAATAATGACAATTAGATAATAAGGGTTGGACAAGGACACTCAAGCAATCAAGGTTGGATGATGGAGATGTGTTAACCTCACTTTTGATCGATCTTCTATTGCCCAAAAAGCTTCACCCATCCTTGCTTAGATGTGTTGCATGCAAAACAAAGTTTAACAGCTTCAAAATTGCTCAATAGAAAAAAAATCACCAAAATCCTTTGGTTGAAGTTGCTACACCACTATCTAGCCTAATTATTTTGGGTAGTTACACTACTGCAGGCGTAGCTATGCCAACTACTAGCGACGTGACTGTGCTACCCCTCTTGCATAATTACATCTTTCTCTCAAGAAGATTGGCATAGGCATAATCACACTATAAGCTAGCATGGTTACGTTGGATATGGCACATAGTTGCTGCTCGAGGTGGCACAAAGATCTTAGGTGTGATTATGCTAAGATCTTTGGTGATTTTGCAAGAGGGGCAACTATGCATATGTCCTTTATGAAACTATGCATATGTTGGTTCTTCACTCTGGTGCTCGTGCATTCATTTAGTGTTCTTCATCTCTGGTGTTCTTTGGCTTCTCTATTGTAAGTTTTTTTGCACTTCTTCCTCTTCTTCAACCTGTTTCACTTCACCATTCTTCTTCTTCTCTTCTTCCTAATACACTACACTTCTTTTAGCCACCACAATAATCATCTCTTCTCATAGTTTAACCATCATCACCCTCTTCTCTTGGTCTAACCACCATTACCTTCTGCTCCATCTTCTCTTCACCTAATCACTACACCACCTTACTCCTTCTCTTCTTCTTTCTTTAGCCAATTCACATCATATCCCATATTTTCTTCCTCTCCATTTGGCCGAAAATCATTCACACCAATACTCAATTCCTTTTTTATTACTCATGGACAAACCCTAAACAGTCTCTTCCTTTGTTCCTTCTCTTCCACCATGGCCAAAAGACTCTATTTGTCTCCCTCTCTTCTCTTTATTCCAATATGGCCTCAATCCTCACCTTTTTCTCCATATCTTGCCTCCCTTCCCACTTAGCTCAAATCCCCCCCCCCCCCACACACACACACACCCCTCCTTTACTTCCCTTGACCAAAACCTTAGACCTTAACTCACCCTCTCCTCGTTGCCTTAGCTAAAAATGTTGCATCATTCCTGCCCTCCTTTTAGCTTGATTACGCATATTCTTGGCTTATATTTGGTTTACTTTTGGTGTTTAGCAATTCAAGAATTATTTACATGTGTATGTTATTCACACAATCATAACAAAAGTTAAACACAAAAGAATCATGTCATTTATGTAAAATCTTATGTTCAATTTTTGTATTTATGTCATTTATGAAAAATCCCATATTTATGTTTCTTAAGAAAAAAAAAATTATGCTTATGTCCTTTATGAAAATCTCATGTTTATGTGTCTTAGGAAATTTTTTATTTCTTTTTCTTTAATTTAGGAAAAACCTCATGTTTATGTGCTTAAGAAAAAATTCATACATATGTGACTTATATAAAATCCCATGTTCATGTGTATTAAGAAAAAAATCATGCTTATGATGCCTAAGGAAAATTCCTTGTTTATATGACATGTAAAATCTTATGTTGAAATTTCATGTTTTTGTGGCATATGTAAGGTTTCATGTTTTTGTGCATAGGAAAATTTTCATGCTCATGTTGCTTAAGGAAAATTCTTT